GCTTAGGGGGTAAGAGCGTTGTGCCAGTAATTGAAAGGTCGCTGGTTCTAATCCCTGAGCTGACTAGATGACAAATCTGTCGATGTGCCCTTAAGCAAGGCACTTAACCCTAATTGCTCCTGTAAGTCACTCTGGATAAGAGCGTCTGCTAAATGACTAAAATGTAATATGTTCAAGTGGATTTTTCCCAGTCGTATGTGGTAAATACCACCTTCCCACTTGGTTATGAACGCAGCATTAATATATTGTTGTGTAGTCACCAATCAACTTCAAAATCACTTTTAACTTCAAGATTGCTCTGTCTTGGTTAGCTTGGCATTCGACTGTAGACTATTTTACATTGATAACCAAATATAATCTAAGCGACTGTTCAAACAATAAACAAAACAAACATTGTATTGTATTGTATTGTATTAGAATCCCCCCAAAAATGTATTTTGTTTAGAAGTAATAATTATGTGATTATAGGCTATTTTGAAACGGTAAAAACAACTGTAGCCTTTAGCTTTTTTTCCAGGACAAAATGTGCAACTAAACCTCCGTACAGCCTCTTTAAGATGCTGCTGTTTTAAACTGAAGAATGACACTTCAAACACAATCTGCATGGAATGAAAGGCAAACGTTTCAAGACTGTATTTTAGTACTTCCCAAAGAATAGGAATAATGGCACAGTCAAGCCATATCAGTTTTAGCATGTGTGTCATCACGTATTGAGCAATGGATTGATGGATCAATCTCGACTTTGAACCAACGGGATGACTTTACTGACAGCCTCCACAGTTGACAGGGAGACATGGAGTTGGACTTTTTGAGAGACAGCAAGGCTTATCTTACATTTTTGGCCCAGAAAGGAAGGGGGCGGGATATAGGAGTGAACAGTTTAGGAATGTGACGTCACTAGTTTGCGTTGCATCACTATGGCAGTGCAGTGCATCACCGTTAACATAAACCGTTACGTATTTTTTTTTTACATCTGCTAAATGAAACAAACAGAAAGTGAACCTGTTCACAGGGGAACACTGATTAAAAGTGTGTGAATTGGATCCACAGGGTAAAAGTGACAGCTAGGAGCTGGCATCAAACACTTCTACGGATGGAACCTACGCAGTAACTGTTTTTTTTCTATATGTTTTTTTTCCTTGGATTGTGTGAATTAGAGAGAAGGAGGATGAAAGGAAGCAAAGAAAAAAGGTTGAGAAGGGATCCGGATTGTTGGCGTCACGTTGACGGCTGAAGCCTTGTTCAATCGATGCTGAAGATCAAAGGCGCAGGTGTGAGGCTGTTACCATGGTACCATACCTATAACGGGGTGAGTCATCAGGGGTGAGGGGGGCCACCACCCCTTGGGCAAGAGAGATGGCGAGGGATTCCGCTCGTGCGTCACACTCTCTCTCTCCTTTGCGAAGATGAGGGCTATCTGATTCACTGAAAGAGAGACGGCTGTGAACTCCGAGACTCTTCCTCACTCCCCCTCACCCTGCCCACTCCTTTCCCTCCCTACCAGGGCATGTCATCACTCACAGAAGAATCAGACTGGATAAAGCAATGACAGATGAGGCATGTCAAAAGCTTTTCACTCCTGACTCCAGGGGGGAAGGTGGAGAATGACAGTATCATTCATGGCTGAGGCTTCTCTATATGTCAAATAAATACTCTCCTTTCATTTTCATTCCCCTTTCATTTCCTCTTCCATCCTCCTTCCCGAATTAATTCTGTGGCTTGGATTGAACCAAACGCAGATAAATGAACTCTGCCCTGTGATTGACATGTATGGGAAATTGTCTTGAAAAGTTTGTCTAATTGCACAGGTTGCTTGTCTGTGTTTGTTTGAATCCCAGCCGTGTGTTGTAAACAGTGTGGCAAGCTTTCTGTCAAAGACTTTCACACTGCTGGTGAATAACTTCTGAGGAAAACTCACTTGGCTCATATCAAACACTGATTAGCATTTCACATGTGCTATTCAGGGTGCCAGATGTGGGATGAGTGATTTTTCCCCAGACGTTATTCAACGGCAGTGAGAAGACCTTTGATGGAAAGCTGACCACACTAATTACTACACAGGATATCATTCCGTCTGTTGTATCATGATGATACAGCTGATGATACAAATGTTTCATGCCGGGTTTTCTTTAGGTTTTTTTTGCAATTCATTATGCGTTGTCTTTTAAAACACTGACATCAAACACGTTAAGCACAACTATTGCCCCAAGACAGAGCGCTGATTGCCAAATAAGTTGTGTTTACCTTTTAGAGGCTACGAATGCGTACAAGGAGCTGAAGCGGGTAAGGTTTTTAAACGGGTCAACACTCATTAAGCCACATGGCCAGACGGTATTCCAGGTATTCTGGGTTTCCTCAGGGAATGTGCAGATCAGCTGGCAGGCTCTTCACAGACATTTTCAACCTCTCTTTGTCCCAGCCTGTAATCCCCATGTTTCAAACTGACTACCATTATTCCTGTTCCCAAAAACTCTAAGGCATCCTGACACAATGATTACAGCCCTGTAGCACTCACATCTGTAATAATGAAGTGCTTTGAAAGGCTGGTCATGGCACATATCAACTCCATCATCCCAGACACCCGGGACCCACTCCAATTTGCATACCGCACAAAACAGATCCACAGACGACGCAATCACAATTGCACTTCACACTGCCCTCTCCGACCTATACATTTGCATAAAAGGAATACATTTACCACAGTACCTAACTTCCCCTATGATGGATTTTCTGATATGGTCACAGGTAAATGTGACTGCCTCACATGCCTTGCTTTTATAAAACGGTTACCAACATACAGTCTTAAAATAACAATTAATTACATATTTTCATTAAAATTTTATTTTGATAAGCAAATTCATACAATTGTATTATTCCACCAGAAGATATAGTCTGGACAAAAATCTGGTTGTTAATTATTTTGGTCATGTTGCTACAGACGTGACCCAGTGGTAAATTATTTTTGCATAGTTGCTATAGACGGGTTGGTTGTTTAGAAACAGAACCGACGCATGTGCAACTATGGGGCAAAACAGATGGAGTTGGCTTAGACTGTTGACAACATGTAAACTATACTTAATCTTCAAATGTTTATTGAAAACATAAATAAATTTGCACAATGAGCACTTGTTGTCTCTCAAATACATTGTTCCAGTTGTTGGTTAGGTAGCTAGCAAATTTTTACCATATTTGCATAGACATGACATGAGTCAAAACACCTTAAAATAACACATGGTATTAATAACAAGATACAATGAGCTGAAACGAGCCACCTACGATTACCCACAAGGCAGCTTCTTGTCATTGTTGTTAGCTATCTGACCGTTCAGAATCATAACAACGCATACCTTCCGGCTACATCAATGCAAGCGGGACGTTATCAGTCAACTCTCTGTGCAACATGACTGGTCATCCATTATAAACAAAATGGTTGCTATGCAGGCTGGATAACGTTCTTATCACTTGCTAATTAGCTAGCCAACTTCAGCTAACTCTGTCACGTCAAACATTGCACCTGGAAACACTGCTCGTCCAATCAGCATCCAGGATCCAAACAACCCGTTGTATAATTATAAATAATTTGTACGCTGCAAATAGACCGCAAGGAGCCCAAACAGGTACATTTACATTTCAGTCATTTAGCAGACGCTCTTATCCAGAGCGACTTACAGTTAGTGAATGCATACGTTTTTTTCATACTGGCCCCCCATGGGAAACGAACCCACATTCCTGCCAGCCAAAACCTCCCCTACCTTGGACGATGCTGGACCAATTGTGCGCCGCCCATTGGTCTCCCGGTTACTGCCGGCTGTGACAGAGCCTGGACTCGAACCAGGATCTCTAGTGGCACAGCTAGCACTGCGATGCAGTGCCTTAGACCACTGCGCCACTTGGGAGATACTATTTAACAAAAACATAATACACTGAACAAAATATAAATGCAACAATTTAAAATATTTTACAAGTAATATAAGGAAATCAGTGTTGAATGTCCAAACTGAAATAGTCAACTAGCTATTATGTTAAAGTAAGAATTATTTGAGGTAAAAGTCATTTCTTTGTTTGCTGAAACTGTTGCTGAGCAGTGACATTGTTAGTGTTAGCTAGCTAACGTTAGCTTGTTAGCTAATGATAGCTTACTAGCTAATGTTAGTTAAAACAGACCAATGGGGGTTAGCTAGTTAGCTTGGTTAAACGTTTCCTTGTGTGCCTTTTTCTGCAGATCACTCTATGCATCGCTCTGTTTGTGTCTCACAATGTTAGACGTTGAAAATAGGTACTAGGTTAGCTAACATTTGAGCATTGATAGCTCCCGGAGCAAAGAGGCCATCCCATTAGCTGACGTTACCAATAATAGTTTTTCCTGTCAGCGAACACGTATAGGTCCTAAAAGTTATGACGTTAGCAATTATTTAGCTAGCTAGCTATTTATGACAATGTCAGAAATATTAATATCTGGCTATACATTGCTTTGACCTAGCTAGCTAGTTAACGTTATCAACCAGAGAGACATTCAGGTCTTTCCTAGCTACAATTCCTAGCTAGTTGTCCAACTCTAGCTGTAAACAGCTGAGTTGACTTACTATTTTAAAAGGCCTTCTTGAGTAGAAGCTAATTAACGTTAGTATTTGCAACCATCCAGTCCTATGATTAAATATTTATAATTTACAAAGCGTTATGTATCTGGCAGTCAAACCATACCTGATTACATTTATTTTAATCATTTTCTAGATCAAGGATATCCACCTGTAATTTGAAAATACAGTACAACCCCAATCAAAGTAAGTACAGATTATATATATATTTTTACATCTACCTTTTTCCTCAATATTGTAATAACATGTTCTACTACATTTACATTTACATTTTAGTCATTTAGCAGACGCTCTTATCTTATTTTTTTCATAACTAGGATAATGTTGACACAAGAGTAACTTATGACAACAGTAGAACAGTTTTTTCTCTCTGGAGTAAGGTAAATCCAGCACATTCTGTGACTGATGACCTTGTACGATACAATGGCTTAGTGTTTATTCACAGTAGGCTACAGGTCTTAAGACGATTGACAGACTTTCTCTCCACTGTCTGGTGTTCTGGTCCTGAGCCTGTATTCACAGAGTCAGAGTAGCAGTGCTGATCTAGGATCTGCCTTTTCAATCATAAGGAATAAAAAGAGGGACCTGATCCTAGATCAGCACTCCTCTACTCTGAGATGCTTTATGGTGCTCTACTAGACACCTGCCTTTATCTATGTACATGGGTGTGTGTAATAATGTGTACATCTCCTGCCAATGTGAAACCCCCAGGTGCGATCACCGCTTTGAGAAGGTTCTGGAGGAGGTGACCTGCTACACCCCTCACTACATGGAAGAGACGGAGTCTATCTTTGACCAATCACAGGAGGAGAGGAAGAGGATCAGCAATGATCCACAATTGACGTCACCAACAATGAGAGGATGGCTACACCCGCTGTGACTAGGAGGGTGTGTATCTCATCACTCACTGATCAATTATGTCATGCCGTGATCTCTCATTCCACCTCTGTCTCCCTCTCCTTTCTATCTTTCTCTTTCCTCCTTTCCTCCCTCTCTCCCAGTGTGAAGGCTGTGTATAATGAGCTCCACAACATTCTCATGGCCATCAATGAGTGGGACAAACTGCGCTGTTGGAAGAACACCCACAGACCGGGCATGCCCACTGACTGGCCTCAGTTCCAGGTGCAACACACACACACAGCGGGCTAATGGAAGTTAATGGGGCCTAATGGAGTGTACTGTAATATGGGATTACATAGATGTCAGCCCCTTTGTTATTGTCAGAGTTAGTCTAATGTAGCGAACAGTGTTACAAGCTAATGTAGCAGACTGTATAACAGTGGTGTATGGTCCAACAATGTGACCATTATTAGAAACTGCTGGAGGGTATATACTGGACCAGTCTGCCTTGTTGTTCAATGGAGTCTATTGCAACCTCTCTTTCAGGAGTGGGCACCAGAACATAAAATTTGAAGAAAGAGGTAGAGGCACAGCAAGGCACAATAGAGGTGAGCATGTCTCCATCTGTCTTTATGACCTACGTCAACTGCAGCAGTGTATTTGATCTGTGCTTGTGCCAGCACCAGCAACGCAAGCCTTTTTCTATGCTTATGTGCGAGTAGAGTGAGTTCAGAAAACAGAAAGTAGGCCTATGCGTCTTAGAAATAGTTTTCACATACCAACTTTATATGTCCGATCTCAGAATCAAACAGGCTTGCCCAAAATAACATGGTAGAATGTTTATTTTGATTGACAATTTTGTGCATTTATCAAAATCCCATCAGGTAGCCTGATTTCAGATGTCATGTAAACAACATTATTAGGGAAATCAATCTTCTTGCACAGCATGTAAACGCTTAAATCAAACTATGATATTAATCTGACGTATTATTGTTTGCATACGTAATGCCAGCCGTGTTCCTATTGGTCAGTCACCTGGATCGGCTCGTAACACCAGCCACACTACACGATAAAGGCAAAAAAATACTGACACTGCCAGAACTTTGATGGAGCCTACGACGAAACGTAGTGGTACTTAATCAGCAGACCTAGACCCTGTAAGACTGAAGAGCCAAGATGTTCGACAATCATTTATAATCTAAGAATTTGCCCACGACGTCAACATTTTGTCTTGGACGGCAAAATCGTGGCATAAGACGGCTAAAATCGTACAGTCTGCAAAGGCCTGAAGTAGTTGGAGTCATTCAGTACTCACTTACCATCTCATTACGATGAATCATCAATTCCTAATTACTGATTGGTTTGTAGATAGTGTTAGTGTTATGTATCCTCTGTGTGTGTGTGTGTGTGTGTGTGTGTGTGTGTGTGTGTGTGTGTGTGTGTGTGTGTGTGTGTGTGTGTGTGTGTGGATGCATTCAGAGACTCAGCGATCAGCTTGTTGGGGCTGAACTGGGAGCATAGTACTGTAGCGGTGGGACAGAGGAGACGGCAACAGACAGGGCTTCGTCCTGAGACCTATCCTACGAATCAGGTTTGAGGAATTAGCGAGGTAACTTTGGTCAACTCTGAGTTTAACTTGGGCTACACTACATGACCGAAAGTATGTGGACACCTGCTCGTCGAACATCTCATTCACAAATCATGGGGATTAATATGGAGTTGGTCCCCCCTTTGCTGCTATAACAGCCTCCACTCTTCTGGGAAGGCTTTCCACTAGATGTTGGAACATTGCTGCGGGGACATGCTTCCATTCAGCCACAAGAGCATTAGTGAGGTAACCTGATTCATCTTATCAACCTGCTAATTATTAGAATCAGGTGTTCTAGATCAGAGTTGGAGCAAAAACCTACAGGACGGTAGCTCTCCAGGAACATGGTTGGGCAGTCCTGATCTAGAATGTCATTGTATGCTGTAGCTTTAAGATTTCCCTTCACTGGAACTAATGGGCCTAGCCCGAACCATGAAAAACTGCCCTAGACCATTATTCTTCCTCCAGCCAAACTTTACAGTTTACAGCATTCGGGCAGGTAGCGTTCTCCTGGCATCCGCCAAACCCAGATTTGTCCTTCAGATTGCCAGATGGTGAAGCGTGATTTATCACTCCAGAGAACATGTTTCCACTGCTCCAGAGTCCAATGTCGGCAAGCTTTACACCACTCCAGCTGACGCTTGGCATTGCGCATGGTGGTCGAACTTTTCGAACACACCGACTGCGTCATTGCGTTTTGGTACACCAGAAGTACATTCATTAACATGGGACGCTGCGTTTGCCTTGCAGCATTGCGTTGCAGAGGCAGTTGCAGTGCGTTCTGTGTGGTGCTTACGTTGGATTTATCGAACGTATGCGTCAAACTGTATGCATAAACGGGTTGACAGAAATGGTAGCAGAAGGTGAATGTTGAACTTTTGTTGCACACATATCTAGATGATGCTGCATACTATTTTGCGCAATGACGCAGTCAGTGTGTTCAAAACGTTAGGCTTGTGTGCTGCTGCTCGGCTATGGAAACCCATTTCATGAAGCTCCCGACAGTGGAGGAAGATATACTGTTTTACATTAGCACTACACATCTGATTCAAATCATCAACATTTGATAATAAGTTGATCATTTGAATCGGCTGTGTAGCGCTAGGGCAAAAACTAAAAATGTGCACCCCTTTGGGTCCCCAGGACCAGACTAATCACATTCCCCACCTCACCTCTCTGTGGCTACCGTATGTAGGTAGATATGATTCAACTCTGTGAACACATTGACTGTACTTCAATGAATGATTGTTATGTGTACCTGTTTGCTTTATTTGCCGACTACAAGCATGTAGGTTAGATATGAGAGCATTGCAAAGGTTCAGTGTTGCTACAGTTTGCAAACAAAGTAATTGTGACACTATTTATGTTTTACAGGTGATCATGGTTACAGTCTTATCATATAGCTGGGCAACTCTCGGAATGCAATTAGTTTAATCAGGTGTGTTAGCTGGGGCTGGGGGAAAAGTGTGACAGCAATCAGGCCTCAGAGGGCTGGAGTACTACGATGAGGATGACCACATCGAGATTGAATCAACAGACTTGACGCAAGATCCAGCGTGATCTGATACAGGGCTCTCCTGGAGAGTTACCGTCTTGTAGGTTTTCTCCAACCCTAATCTAGTGCACCTGATTCTAATAACTAGCTGGTTGATAAGCTACAGGAGGGTAAATCTTCAGGAGATCTGAACCTCCACCTAGTCCCCCCACCCTTTTCTCTTGTAACCTCTCTCCCTCTACTATAGCCGTCTTTGGTGATTAGACTGAGAGGGATGTAAACACAAATAGCTTGCAGCTACCACATTTAACAATGTGTGATTCATTCACCATTACATCATCATTTAAAATAAAGTGAATAATCTTTGTTTCATATTCTTGTTTGTGCTAAGGAGGTCCAGTAGGTTAATATGAATTGTACTGATGACTGTTTAACAATCATGTTGGTAAGGTTGACTTGAGTGTGCTGTTAATGTTTTGGTATTGTAATCACCTGCTGCTTGCATTTCAATAGCTAAGTTGTTTATGAATTACACAATTGTCAGAAACTCAGGATGAATCAGGCAAAGATGCTGAAACATCAGTCAACATCCATCTTAGTGCAGAACAACATTGCCTGGACAAGTATTATATGGGTTGAGACTCAAAATAATATAAGCGATATGGGCAAAGAGTAGCTATTACCGACGATCAAGGTAAGAATAGACATACAGTGGGGTGAAAAAAGTATTTAGTCAGCCACCAATTGTACAAGTTCTCCCACTTAAAAAGATGAGAGAGGCCTGTAATCTTCATCATAGGTACAAGTCAACTATGACAGACAAAATGAGGAAAAAAAATCCAGAAAATCACATTGTAGGATTTTTTATGAATTTATTTGCAAATTATGGTGGAAAATAAGTATTTGGTCACCTACAAACAAGCAAGATGTCTGGCTCTCACAGACCTGTAACTTCTTCTTTAAGAGGCTTCTCTTGTCCTCCACTCGTTACCTGTATTAATGGCACCTGTTTGAACTTGTTATCAGTATAAAAGACATCTGTCCACATCCTCAAACAGTCACACTCCAAACTCCACTATGGCCAAGACCAAAGAGCTGTCAAAGGACACCAGAAACAAAATTGTAGACCTGCACCAGGCTGGAAAGACTGAATCTGCAATAGGTAAGCAGCTTGGTTTGAAGAAATCAACTGTGGGAGCAATTATTAGGAAATGGAAGACATACAAGACCACTGATAATGTCCCTCGATCTGGGGCTCCACGCAAGATCTCACCCTGTGGGGTCAAAATGATCACAAGAACGGTGAGCAAAAATCCCAGAACTACACGGGGGGACCTAGTGAATGACCTGCAGAGAGCTGGGACCAAAGTAACAAAGCCTACCATCAGTAACACACTACGCCGCCAGGGACTCAAATCCTGCAGTGCCAGACGTGTCCCCCTGCTTAAGCCAGTACATATCCAGGCCCGTCTGAAGTTTGCTAGAGTGCATTTGGATGATCCAGAAGATGATTGGGAGAATGTCATATGGTCAGATGAAACCAAAATAGAACTTTTTGGTAAAAACTCAACTCATCGTGTTTGGAGTACAAATAATGCTGAGTGGCATCCAAAGAACACCGTACCTACTGTGAAGCATGGGGGTGGAAACATCATGCTTTGGGGCTGTTTTTCTGCAAAGGGACAAGGACGACTGATCCGTGTAAAGGAAAGAATGAATGGGGCCATGTATCGTGAGATTTTGAGTGAAAACCTCCTTCCATCAGCAAGGGCATTGAAGATGAAACGTGGCTGGGTCTTTCAGCATGACAATGATCCCAAACACACCGCCCGGGCAACGAAGGAGTGGCTTCGTAAGAAGCATTTCAAGGTCCTGGAGTGGCCTAGCCAGTCTCCAGATCTCAACCCCATAGAAAATCTTTGGAGGGAGTTGAAAGTCTGTGTTGCCCAGCGACAGCCCCAAAACATCACTGATCTAGAGGAGATCTGCATGGAGGAATGGGCCAAAATACCAGCAACAGTGTGTGAAAACCTTGTGAAGACTTACAGAAAACGTTTGACCTGTGTCATTGCCAACAAAGGGTATATAACAAAGTATTGAGAAACTTTTGTTATTGACCAAATACTTATTTTCCACCATAATTTGCAAATAAATTCATAAAAAATCCTACAATGTGATTTTCTGCATTTTCTTTTCTAATTTTGTCTGTCATAGTTGACGTGTACCTATGATGAACATTACAGGCCTCTCTCATCTTTTGAAGTGGGAGAACTTGCACAATTGGTGGCTGACTAAATACTTTTTTTCCCCACTGTAGCTATAACGTTCTACTTCTGTTTGATGAAACTGTCACGGCAACACCCCAAACAGCAAGCAAATTGCAGATGTAGAAGCAACGGTGGATAGGAAAACCTCCTCTAGAAAGGCAGGACCTAGGAAGAAACCTAGAGAGAACCAGCTCTGAGGTGCGGCCCAGTCCTCGTCTGGCGGGTGCCAGGGTGGAGAGAGTACATGGCCATTAATGCCAGATTGGTTCTTCAAAGATGTTCAAACGTTCAATAGAATGACCAGCAAGGTCATTCGGAAGGTGAGAGAAGAGAGAGAGAGAGAGAGGTGAGAGAGAGAGAGAGAGAGAGAGAGAGGAGAGAGAGAGAGAGAAGAGAGAGAGAGAGAGAAGAGAGAGAGAGAGAGAGAGAGGAGAGAGAAGAGAGAGAGAGAGAGAGAGAGAGAGAGAGAGAGAGAGAAAAACAGCAGGTCCGGGACAAGGTAGCACGTCTGGTGAACAGGTCAGTGTTCCATAGCCGCAGGCACACTGGAGCAGCAGCACGACCAGGTGGATTGGGGACAGCAATTAGTCATCAGGCCAGGTAGTCCTGAGGCATGATCCTAGGGCTCAGATCCTCCGGGAGGGGAGGGAGAGAGAGAGAATTAGAGGGAGCTTCATTAAATTGACACAGGACACTAGATAAGACAGGAGAATTACACCATATATAACAGACTGAACCTAGCCTCTCGGCACATAGACTGGGCCAGACTAGACTCAATCGTAGGACCTACTGAAGAGATGAGTCTTAAAGGTCGAGACTGAGTCTGCGTCTCTCACATGGATAGACAGACCATTCCATAAAATGTTTGTTCGATAGGAGAAAACCCTGCCTCCAGCTCTTTGCTTAGAAATTCTAGGGACAATAAGGAGGCCTGTGTCTTGTGAGTGTAGCGTACGTGTAGGTATGTAAGGCAGGACCAAATCGAAGAGATAGGTAGGAGCAAGCCCATTTAATGCTTTGTAGGTTAGCAGTAAAACCTTGAAATCATCACTAGCCTTAACAGGAAGCGGCTAGCACTGGAGTAATATGATAATATTTTGGGGTTCTAGTCAAGATTCTAGCAGCTGTGTTTAGCACTAACTGAAGTTTATTTAGTGCTTTATCCGGGTAGCCAAAGAGTAGAGCATTGCAGTAGTCGAATCTAGAAGTGAAAAAAGCATGGATTAGCTTTTCTGAATAATCTTTTTACAAAAAGTTTCTGATTTTCGCAATGTTACGAAGCTGGGAAAAAGCTGTCTTTGAAATATTCTTGATATGTTCATCAAAAGAGAGATCAGGGTCCAGAGTAATGCCGAGGTCCTTCAGTTTTATTTGAGACGACTGTACAACCATCAAGATTAATTGTCAGATCCAACAGCAGATCAGTTTGTTTCTTGGGACCTAGAACTAGCATCTCGCCATCCACTTCCTTATGCCTAAGACAGGCAATTTTGGGGCTTCACCGTATTTCATCAAAATGTACAGCAGTGTGTCGTCCACATAGCAGTGAAAGTTGACATTGTATTTCTGAATGACATCAACAAGAGGTAGAATATACAGTGCATTCGGAAGGTATTTTGTTGCAATACAGCCTTATTCTAAAATGAATTAAATTGTTATTTTCCCTCATCAAACTACACACAATACCCCATAATGACAAAGCAAAAACAGTTTTTTAGAAATGTTTGCAAATGTATTAAAAATAAAAAACGGAAATATCACATTTACATAAGTATTCAGACCCTTTACTCAGTACTTTGTTGAAGCACCTTTGGCAGCGATTACAGCCTCAAGTCTTCTTGGGTATGATGCTACAAGCTTGGCACACCTGTATCTGGGGAGTGTTTCCCATTCTTCTCTGCATATCCTCTCAAGCTCTGTCAGGTTGGATGGGTAGCGTCACTACACAGCTATTTTCAGGTCTCTCCAGAGATGTTCGATCGGGTTCAAGTTTGGGCTCTGACTGGGCCACTCAAGGACATTCAGAGACCTGTCCCGAAGCCTTAGGGTGGTTGTCCTGTTGGAAGGTGAACCTTCGCCCCAGTCTGAGGAGCTGAGCACTCTGGAGAAGGTTTTCATCAAGGATCTCTCTGTCCGTCCTTCTGGAAGGTTCTCCCATCTCCACAGAGGAAGTCTGGAGCTCTGTCAGAGTGACCATCGGGATCTTGGTCACCTCCCTGACCAAGGCCCTTCTCACCCGATTGCTCAGTTTGGCCGGGCGGCTAGCTCTAGGAAGAGTTTTGGTGGTTCCAAACTTCTTCAATTTAAGAATGATGGAGGCAACTGTGTTCTTGGGGACCTTCAATGCTGAGGAAATGTTTTGGTACCCTTCCCCAGATCTGTGCCTCGATACAATCCTGTCTCAGAGCTCTACGGACAATTCCTTCGACCTCATGGCTTGGTTTTTGCACTGTCAACTGTGGGACCTTATATAGACAGGTGTGTGCCTTTCCAAATCATGTCCATTCAATTAAATTTACCACAAGTGGACTCCAATCAAGTTATAGAAACATCTCAAGGATGATCAATGGAAACAGGATGCACCTGAGCTCAATTTCGATTATCATAGCAAAGGGTATTTCTGTTTCTTTTTTTATATATATATGCAAACATTTCTATAAACCTGTCTTCGGTTTGTCATTATGGGGTATTGTGTGTAGATTGCTGAGGATTATTTATTTAATCCATTTTAGAATAAGGCCGTAACGTAGAAAAATGAGGGGGGTCTGAGTACTTTCCGAAGGCACTGTATAGTGAAAACAATAGCGGTTCTAAAACGGAACCTTGAGGAATGCCGAAACATACAATTGATTTGTCAGAGGACAAACCATCCACAGAGTTGAACTGATATCTTTCCGACAGATAAGATCTGAACCAGGCAAGAACTTGTCCGTGTAGACCAATTAGGGTTTCCAGTCTCTCCAAAAGAATGTGGTGATTGATGGTGTCAAAAGCAGTACTAAAGTCTAGGAACACGAGGACAGATGCAGAGCCGTGGTCAGACGCCATTAAAAGGTCATTTACCACCTTCACGAGTGCAGTCACAGTGCTATGATGGGGTCTAAAACCAGACTGAAGTATTTTGTATACATTATTT